CCCCGCTCTTCAGGAGGGACTTCAGGAGGGCCATGGGCAAATCCCTGCCCTGCTGCCGGCGCTCCGGGGAGCCCCGTCCCAGCGCCATCTCCCTCTCCATGAGGAACTCCAACAGCGGAGCCCGTGCCGCCACGTCCCTCAAGAACGTCCTCACCTTGCAGGCTGAGACCGACTCGGTCGAGTCCGGGGCGCTGGGGAACGAACACAACCTGCTGCCGGCTGGCAACGGCCCCTCAGCTCTCCCGGCCCCCGGCACCCGCTTGGTCAACCTTTTCGACGTGGAGCTCCCGGACGCGGAGCTGCGGCACAAGCAGCTCGGCACCCCTGTGGCCTGAGCGAGGGCGGCCGTGGGGCTACGGCCGGGGGAGACGCCGACGGGGGGCGGGCTACGGACCTCCGTGTGCTGGGAAGGATCCCCCAGCACAGCGTGAACTCTCCGAAGGGCCGATGTGCCATATGATGCCTCCCTGCCCACACATTGCTGCTCGACGCCTTCTTCAAATGCAGCATGCCTCTCCTTGGAGAAGCCGTCGTCACCGAGCACTTCTGCGGGTTTGAACAGCACAAAGCCACATTTTGGTGCTGAATGAATCCGCCTGGTTTCTCTCTCTTTCCATCCCTCCTTTGCTCACCGTCGCCTCATCCTTCTCTGAGAGCTGCTTCTCATGGCCTTTTCACCTCTGCTTAGTCTGGACTCCAGACCCTTCTGCCAGCCTACATCTCCCTGAACTTAAACCAAGGCTGTCTTCAGCTTCCACTCACGCAGCTCAGCAGACCACCTCCGTCTCACCGAGTGCGCCGAGAGAAATGGTGGAAACCACATCCCGTGACTCACGGACAAGAGGTTTGGGGCTGCTTCAGTCCACGGAACATCACGTCTTCTTGGAGTTTAATTTCTTTGCCTGATTTGGACTGTGTCTGTCTTCGGTTTCCTGCGAAAGCAGCGAGTTGCAACACGGTGAAACCATCGTGTTTAATCATCGACAGCCTGCACTATGGGGGATTAAATTTGATGCAAAATGTTCAACGCTGCTTTTTGGATATTCAGCAGGGGTGTGGGTGTTCGGCTCGTTTGTGGCTGTGTGGGTATCCTGACGGTAGTAAGTAACAAGATGAGCTTCCCTTCAGATTCCATCCTACATCATTCCTATTTTTGGCATATGACCATCGTACCTCGCTCTGACAATCCATCAATTTTTAGATGATGCAGTTAGAAAACAGACTTTTCTTTTCCTCTTCAGGTAAGAATCTAAACAAATCTCGTCTTTTAAATGACAATGCCAGCCCCTCCCATCCCTCCTCATAGCCATCAGCAGAGAGAATGTTGAGTAATATGGTAAGTGGGCACTTAAAAAAAGAAAAAAAACCAACAAATGCTTTTAGAAGATTCTTCCTCAAGTGCCTTTCAGATGCAGAGATGGGTTGGTAGTTGGTTGCTGTGCCCTCCCTGCCTATTTCCGAGCTCACGCTAATGAGTTTGACTGTGCTTCCGAAGCTCTCTATTATACAAAGGAATACAAAGCATCCCGAGGATGCTGGAAGAAGCAGCCACACGCCAAACAAGTCTTATTAGTTTTCTTTCCACATTGCCCACGTATGTTCCAGAACTGAACAACAAGCGTTTTTATGACTAAGTTGACATTTATTTGCTACAAATCCCCTTGCAACCGACGGCTGGCCCAGCGGTCAGTGATAAATGACCGTGACAAAGGGAGGACTGAGCGCAGGTTCAAACATTAAACCATTTTAATACATTTTTGCCACATATCTGTGGACAGATAGCTTGATCTCAAGCAGGAGGATAAATATGTACCTCTTTCCACAAATGGCTTTATATAAAAACATACTTTGACTGCAACTCCAATTAAAAAGGAGTAGAAAAATACACGACAAACTCCGAAAGTCTGTTAGGTAATCAAGTCAGGAGACACAGGCTTCGGGAGACGGACAAAGAGAGACCACTTTTTCAAGCCAAATGGTCAAAAGCAATAATATGTTATTCTCTGGTCGAACCAATTCTTTGTAATAAGGTGTTTGCTTGTGGAAAAATCCTCTGATGTGGTGGAGAAATCACGTCCCTTTCCTGCAGCCAACAGCATCAACGCTGACCGGCGTCACTGTGGGATCCCGCAGCCTGTCTCAGAGACATCTCCCATCGCTCCGCAGCGAGGCACCGCACGAGAACCAGAGCTGAGCAGGTCCGGGCCCCCCTCGGCGGGAAGGAGTTAGGGAGAGGAAACGCTGGGCACTGTGCCCAAAGCTGCTGTGGACTGCCACCCCCCGAAACAGGCACGTTTTCAACTTCCTGAGAAATAATCTGCAGGTAAGGTTTGCAGAAAGCTGGGGAAAGAAAGGAGACGTGGTTATTAAACTAGCTGGAAAGGGGAGGGAGGAGCAGAACCGAAAATTGGAAGCTGCAACTGCACCGATTCCCCCCACGTGAGTCAACGAGACCCTCCGGACCTGGGCGTGGGACCGTACTTACACCAGCCAGCACTCGTTTTAAAACAGAAAAACAGAGGTGTTCTCCGAAGGGGATTTCCCCCCCTGCTGTGTTCCTGCTAGATTGCCTTTTCTTGGGCTAAGCAGCAAAACAGGCCAGAAAAGGACCTTTTATGGAAGATGTGGCTCAGTCCCCTACGGTTTTGGAAGACTCTGCATGGCAGGGGATGTAAAGCAGGGTCCGGTTTGAGGCTGAGGGAGAAGAGAGTGGATGCCAATTTGCTGTTATGGAAGGAGGTAGAAATCAAACAGATTCGTGTTTATCCTATGCCAAGTATTGGTTTTATTCTAAGCCAATTAAAAATATGTCTGGAGGGGGCTTTTAAGGCTGGAGCTGTGTGTGGGACACAAAACGAAAGTCTCTGTGGGTTGCTGGCTTGCAAAGCCTGGGAGGAAGTTTCACAAAGTAATAAATCATAAAAAGCCAACTCTCTCTCTGCTGCCGTCTTTCACCTAGGGACCCAAAGCATGTTTCTAATCATAGTGAGGCCTCGGACGCTCATCACCCTCAGCTTGCAGATAGGGAAACAGCCTTAATGATTGGAAAGTGCCTGAGCCCTGGCAGCAGACGGGGGAAAGAAGGCAGGTAGCCTGAGCCTTTCACCTCCGCAGTTTAGCAGAGCCAAAGTCTGGACGCTGAGACGTAGGCAGTTGGGCAGCCAGAGCCTGCAACACACCTGCTCATGTGAAAACTAGAAACCAAATCAACCACTGGTGGAAAACTGTTTTTAATTTCCTAGTGCCAAGCCCCTCTCCATGATATGCTTAAAAATACCCACAGAGCCACCTGCTTTCCCAGGAGTTATACAGCAGAGACACAGTGCCCAATGGTGGCAGCTGTGTCCCTCAAGAACAGGCCCAGTTTGTGCAAGGAAAGTGCCGCCGCTTCCTGAGGAGCAATGCTAATTCAGGCAGGAATCAGCCCTTTCTCGTCCGTGGGAGATGCCGTGGGCAGCTGCTGCGAAAGCTTTGATCCAGTGCCGTGCCGGTGCCATGCTCCAGGCATCTCAGGAGGGTCTGAAAACTGCAGCTACAGCTCTGCCGGCTCTACCGATACTCCTTTGGGAATCCCAGTGCAACGGACAGTGCTTTGAAAGCAGTTTTAGTGCTGGCTGAGCATCTCTGCCCGACACCAAGAGCTCTAATTCACTCCTTCGCCCGCTGCCTGTTTCTTGCTCTCCCCACTGCTTGAACAGTCTGGGCAGGGGAGCGAGGTTTCTCCCAAGAGACAGCTGGGGGAATCATGGCGGTGAGCATGGCCGGCTGGGAGAGCCTCACTGTCCGCCGCATCCTCCTCTCGCGCGGTGTTTTCCTCTTCCCGAGCCTCGCTGCCTGCTGCCCCCTGTGACTTCTTGGCTAGAGGGGAGAAAAGATTGCCGCTGCCCTTCTCTTCCAGCCGACACTCCTTGGTTTTAATGCCCACAGCTTTCAGGATCGTGTCCATTTGCTTCATGTAGTCCAGGTGGCCGTTTACCTGCAAGCAACAACAAGAGTCCTGTTAGCAGGGAAGCTGTGGGGAACCCAGCTCAGCCAAGTCCTTCCTCTCAAAAGCTACCGCTGCCGTGAGACTTGGTGTTAGCTCCGAAAGACTGAAAGAATGAGGTCTGAAAAACGCAGGCATCCATTGAATAACCTGAACTGGCTGCGCCCTTCATGGCACACACTGCTGCAGGATTGCTTCTCTGCTGACGGAGGTATGTTTAAATGCTTGGACATTGCTGAGTTACAAAACCCCAGCTCCTGGGTGCCACGAGGGTAGGAGAGGAGGTGATCTCCCGTGGTGAGAGACGCCCAGGTAGGAGACAAGTCGTCTGAATTCAGCTCCCTGTTCTCTGCTACATCACATGTCCTCCCTTGTGGCTTAGCTCCCTGGTAAAAGCAAAGATTAAATTAGGATATAGTCATTAAATCTCACAACAGCTACCAAGCGTGTTAAGGTTCTTGGCTGGAAGGTGCACTGATCTGTCCTACACCATATGAAACTGGGAGCCTCAGAGTTATGGGTTCATAACCCAAATTAAAGTCAACAACACGTGCAAAAACCCACACATTTGTATTGGAAAGTCATTTCCGTGGTAAGACAGACCCTTCTGAGATGGATGTAGGAAGGCACTCTTCCAGTCAGGGCACAGGAGGGAGAGAAAACCTCCTCTGCAGGTTATCGTTGTCATATTATTGTCATCACTAAAAGGCTACGGGGCTGGAAAGGCAGAAACTGCCACCTCTGTTTCAAGTGACCCGTGCAAGCTGAGCGTTTGAAGTCAAGGCAGCAGAGATCCTCCTAGAGACCAGCCTGCAGCTCTCCTTTGCTGTTGTTCTCACAGCCAACATGGGAGGAAGCGCCGGTGAGCAAAGAATCCCAAGGGAGATTTATAGGGGAATTTTCTGTGGAGAGGATACTGCCGTCAGGCTGAGCCGAGGCTGCTTCAACGGTGTGCTCACCAGCTGGCCTGTAGATTTCAGCAAAGATTAAGGAGTATGATTTGCATCCTAAGATATTTTAGCATCTTTGGTAAATTCTACTTCTAACAGTTTAAATCCTTCCTGACCCACCCAGAAAGCTGTCTCAGGCAACACAGCGTCTTATTTTCCCAAATCTTGCTAGTAATTAGGGAATTTCCACAGCAGGGAATACCCGACACCACAGTCCCAGGTTTCCTGCTTCCCAGCCGCGTGTACAACTGCCCCGGGAAGGGGCTGTCTGCTCACACAAGACGGTAAGAGCTGTTTGCAGAGCTCTGCAAAGAAACCCAGCCATGGATTTCTCTGCTCGCTCAGTCCGAGAGGCTGGCTGATGCCTGAGCAGTCCTTTCTCGCTGTGCCAGCAAAGCAG